TCTTCTTCTTTCTTCTTCTTCTTCTTCTTCTTCTTCCTTCTTCTTCTTCTTCTTCTTCTTCTTCTCCCTCTCCTTCTCCTTCTTCTTCTCCCCCTCCCCTTTTTTTCTTCCTCTACCTCTACCTCTTCCTCTTGTTTTTCTCCTCCTCCTCCTCCTCCTCCTCCTTCTATTTCTTCTTCCTCTCCTCCTCTCCCACCATTTGCCCAGTTACATTTCCACCCAGGCCTTCTCCACTCCCTTGGACTTCCAACCAAGGCGTTCTTCTGCAGATCCAACTCCCCAGTGTCTCAGATCTAGGGAGGGCCCTCTTCTAGGCCAACCCAGGAGGCTACAACACGGAAGGCACAAAATTGAAACGGTTGGGATTACCTCATCCCTGGTGCTGAGCAGAGCAGACCGTTTGCAAAACTACCTTGCCCGACATCTTTGCTAAGAGGTCATTTCGAAAAGAGGTCAGCAGGTTGCCTGCAGCAGAAGACGCCCACAAATACCAGCAGGCAACATGTAATGAAAGATGAAAACATTTTGGTTTCGTAAGACATGAACGAATTAACCACACGCCCCATGGAGAAACTATTGGTATTGCGTTCAAACCACAACCTACCTCCAACAATGCAAAGGAATCCGTAGGACGCCAGCTTTCTCGTAGATCCAAGTAGATAGATTCACCCTACATGACAGGCTCAAGATCCAGATGGATCTTTTTTTTTTTAATTGAAAAGTTTTAAAAAGTTTACATATTTATCCCCCTCCCCCTTCCCTCCACCCTCCCCAACCCGCCCCCTTTTAAAAGCATTTTTTCGGGGGAAGAAGTTGTAGAAAAAATGCTTTTAAAAGTGAAAAAAATAATTAAAAAAAGCCTCTGATGATCATGTGACTCAGCTGGGCATGGTGAGTTGGGGGGGGGGCAGGGATTTTTGCTACCAGTTCTCCGAACCACTCACCACTATCGCTACCGGATCGGGCAATCCGGTCTGAACCGGGAGCATTTCACCCCTGCTCTGTGGGGGTTCCAGGCTCCCCCTACTTTCCAAGCAGACACCTACAAAAACAGGTAGGACATGCGTAACCCCCCCCCAAGAAAACCCACCCTTCAGGGTCAAAATAGGAGCCTTGGCAGTACAGTGGTCTAAAGCACCCTGTTATTAAGACCAGCTGCCTGCAATTACTGCAGGTTCGAATCTCACCAGGCTCAAGGTCGACTCAGCCTTCCATCCTTTCTAAGGTGGGTAAATTGAAGACCCAGCAATAAGCTGACTTTGTATAAATTATACAAAAGTATGAAGGCTATTGCTTAGCGCATTGTAAGCCGCCCTGAGTCTCCGGAGAAGGGCGGCATATAAATCAAATTAAAAAAAAAATAGTGAAGTAAAAAGTGAATAATTTACAAGAAGAAAAGCTAGCTGACCAAATACTTTCCAAAGCTGTAAAACCATCTGACACATTGGGGTTTGTTTTAACTCTGCGAAAGGAGGAACAAAGTTCAGAGAGATTCTTGAGGGGTGAGTGTGACAGTCTTTGTGACAAGGGGAAACAAGGAGAGGTGGGAATGACGGCTCTTTAAATGTCAGTTCCTCTTGTCTGTCTAAATTCCGGTATTTGAGAGGTTGCCACAAAGAGGAAGGGGGTCAACTTATTCTCCAAAGCATCTGAAGGCAGAACAAGAAACAATGGATGGAAATTAATCAAAGAGAGAAGCAACCTGGAATGAAGGAGAAACTTCCTAACAGTGAGGACAATTAATCAGTGGAACAGCTTGCCACTAGAAGTTGTGAATGCTCCAACACTGGAGGTCTTTAAGAAGAGATTTGACAGCCACTTGTCTGAAATGGTATAAGGTCTCCTGCTTGAGCAGAGGGCTGGACTAGAAGACCTCCAAGGTCCCTTCCAGCTCTATTCTGATTATTAAACAAGAATATTCTGATTATTAAGCAAACAATACAGATGGCCTTGGCTCAGACCCTGTGGTTAAATTCCACAGGAATTGCAAAAAAAAAAATCCATGTAGAGATTTCAACCTTCTTCACGGATTTGTTGAAGAATTTCCAAGAATTTCTCCCCAAGTCCCATTTCAGCCCAAGTGAGAGTAGAAGTCAAAATTCTTGATGTATACTTTGCCAAGCTTTCATTCCAGGTTAAAGGGAGCTTTTGACTATGTACGTTAGCCTTCACGGTTAAAACACAAAAATCAAAAAGAACCATCCGGTAGCACGAAAGAATCTACTTTTTATTCCATTGTGCGGATTGGGATAGGTGCTAACTGGAGCACAGGCTAGATAATGTCAGAACTACGGAATACAGAGTTGGAAGGGACCTTGGAGGTCTTCTAGTCCAACCCCCTGCTCAGGCAGGAAACCTTATACCAGCGATGGCTAACCTTTTTGCCATCGCATGCCAAAAGCGGGGGGAGCACAGGGAGTCACGCGTGTGCGCCCACACCCATAATTCAAAGCGCCTCCCCCCACATGTGTGCACGACCCCCCCTGCACTCCCCCCGCTTTTCACATGTGATGGCACAGTGGGCCCAGTAGACCTGTTTTTTGTCCTCCCCAGGCTCCAGAGGCTTTCTAGGAGCCTGGGGAGGGTGAAAACAGCCTCCCCCCCACCTCGGAGGCCCTCTGGAGGCCAGAAACAGCCCGTTTCCCAACTTCCAGTGGGCCCAGAAGGCCCAAAAATCAGCTGGCTGGCGTGCTGAAGCTGACCTAAGGCAAAGCTTGCCTGCCCACAGATACGGCTCCGGGTGCCACTTATGCCATGCATGCCATAGGTTTGCCATCATGGCTTAAAACCATTTCAGGCAAATGGTTGTACAATCTGTTCTTAAAAGCCTCTGGTGATGGAGCAACACAGGTTGAAACTAAACCCTGGCAAGACCGAGTGGCTCTGGTAATATAGGTAGGTAAGCGGGTCCAGCTGGATGATCACCGAAGGACCCTCTTTAAGAAAGGAAATGTGCTTGTTTGAGGGAAGCCAATTATCTCCAGTTGAAAGGAGAGAATTCCTTTGAAGTAGAAACATTCACAAGAAGGGCCCCTCAGTTGTCAGAGATAAGAGACATTTGGTGATATACAGTATGAAGGTTAAAGAGATCAAGTATGACCACATGTAATATTAACAAGAGATAATTTGAATCTATGCTTCAGTAATTGGCAAAAAGAATTATGACTGTTGGCAAAGAATAAATGAAACAGTAATTGGGAAGTGTCAATTAAATATGACAAATGTATATGATCACATAAACTGCTGAGTTAACAGAATCCTTTGTCTAGAAGGGTATAAAAACCATTGTAGCTAATTTCTGTCTTTGTTCAACGCTTCATGTACAGAGCTTTGAACCTATTGCGCAATATACAATGTCTCTGGCTAACTCTGAAAAGTTGTGTTGGTCTTATTAAATCCACAACACTGGGTTTGGGGTTTATTGGCTCAGGGAGAATTGGCACCTCTGGTCTTGGATGGGGTGGCACTACCCCAGACAGATCCTGTGCCAGGGGTGAAATGCTCCCAGTTCGGACTGGTACGGCCAAACTGGTAATGATGGCAGCCGTGGTTCGGAGAACCGGTAGCGATGGCGGTGCGAGACTCCGCCCACCCGCCCGGTTGTCATTACTTCCTGGTTTTAACCAGGAAGTGATCTGTTTTTTACCCTCTGCGCATACGCAGAAGGATTTGCACATGTGCATGTCCACCCCCCTTGTGTCACAGGTCACGTTAACCAACCAAGCAGGCGATGAACTTCTCATCACACCCTTCTGCCATTGTTATGGCAGATTGGGCTGACCTTGGTTTTCAGGAGCCTTATTGTTGTTATGTCTGGCGCTGTAGAGGAAAACATTCTACATTCTTCAACTCCCACTCCCACTTACACACACACACACACACGTTATGCATGGCACCTTAGAAACGAAGCAAAATAAAGTATGGCTTCATTTAGGTAGTTTCGAGAGTTGATGCATTCTTTCTATGCTTTAGCCTCCAGTCCCCTAATCGTACGCCATGTTGGCTTGCTGGTTTATTCCAATACAAGTAAATATGAGCCAGCCATGTGCAGCGGCAGCCAAAAAAGCCAATGCAGAGAAGAGCAACCAGGATGGTGAGGGGACCAGAGACTAAAACATATGAAGAACGGTTGCAGGAACTGGGCATGGCTAGTCTAGTGAAGAGAAGGACCAGGGGAGACAGGATAGCAGTCTTCTGATACTTGAGGGGCTGCCAAAGAGAGGAGGAAGAGGTCAAGCTATTTTCCAAAGCACCTGAAGGCCAGACAAGGAATAATGGATGGAAACTGAACAAGGAGAGATTCAACCTGGAAATAAGGAGGAATTTTCTGACAGTGAGAACAATCAACTGATGGAACAGACGTTGCCTTCAGAAGTTGTGGGAGCTTCATCACTGGAGGCTTTCGAGAAGAGACTGGACAGCCATTTGTCAGAAATGGTGTAGCGTCTCCTGTTTGGACAGGGGGTTGGGCTAGATGACCTACAAGGTCCCTCCCAACTCTGTTATTCTGTAATCTCTAAAAAGTAGTTACAACTGTTCATTTAGTGACTGCTTGAATTACAACAGCCGTAAAAAAAAAGTGACTTAGGGTTTTTATTTTCACATTTAAGAACCCTTGCAATACCCCCAAGGTCACGTGATTCAGATGCTCGACCACTGACTCACATTTAGGACGATTGCCAACGTCCCAGGGTCACGCAATTCCCCTTTTGTGACCTTCGGACAAGCCAAGTCACTGGGGGAACATTAATGACTGCTATGATTTACTTCACGAAGGTTGTGGCAAGAAAGGTTTTATTTATTTCATTTCATTTCATTTCATTTCATTTCATTTCATTTCATTTCATTTCATTTCATTTCATTATCTCATCTCATTTCATTTCATTTTATTTTATTTTATGATGGTTATAAGGCTTTGCAAAATTGCCGGGATCTCTGCTCATTTCATGATGTGACTTTAATGCAAGTGTGTTTGCTTCTTTCTATGCACCCCTTTGCAGTGTCTTCGCTCGCGTGCTTCCAATGCGACAAAGTGGACAGTAACAACAAATGCTATGCCATACAGCACTGTGGGGAGAACGACCGCTACTGCGTAACAAAATATTTTGGTGGAGGTCGTGGTAAGTGACTGTACCCCTCTGGGAGCTTTTCATTCTGTAATTGAAACAAATGCTTCTTTTACAATGGAATGGAATCAGAAGTGGTATTCAGCAGGTTCTGACAGGTTCTGGAGAACCGGTAGCGGAAATTTTGAGTAGTTCAGAGAACCGGCAAATACCATCTCTGGTTGGCCCCGCCCCCATCACTTCGCTGCCTCCCGAGAGTCCCAGCTGATCGGTGTCTCAGCTGATCAGCTGGGTTTTCTTTTGTTGTCCTGCACAGGAGAACGGAGCTGGAAAGCAGGTTAGCGGGGTGGGAAGGAAATGGGGATTTTACAGTATATCCTTCCCCTGGAGTGGGATGGAAATGGGGATTTTACAATATCCTTCCCCTGCCATGCCCACCAAGGCATGCCACACCCACAGAACCGGTAGTAAAAAGAATTTGAATACCACCATGGAATGGAACGGTATGAAGGCTATTGCTTAATGCATTGTAAGCCGCCCTGAGTCTCCGGAGAAGGGCGGCATATAAATCAAATTAAAAAAAAAAAAGAAAGTGGTTCCATCCCAGACGCTTAATGGACCCTGAAGGGTTTCAGAAGGAGCTTGGGGAGATACCTGACTCCCTTGTCCACAGTCCGTCCAAGACCCTGGAATAAGGCGGCATCCGGGGCATTGGACCGGATTGCACCTTTGCGGCCTCTCAATGGGCCAGGAAAGCTCCCTGGTTTACTGAGGAGCTCCGGGAGATGAAGCGTCAGAAGAGACGTCTAGAGCGACGCTGGAGGACCAGTAAATCCGCATCCGACCGAACACTTTTGAGAGCCTTTATTAGGACTTATTTAGTGGCGATACGGGCGGCAAAATGTTCACATTTTTCCACACTTACTGCGTCCGCTGATTCTCACCCAGCCGCCCTATTTAGGGTGACTCGCTCCCTCTTTAAGGTAGGGGGAACGGAGGAGCCCTTGCAGGGTAGAGCTGAGGAATTTGTGCAGTTTCTGTCGGATAAAGTTGTTCAGATTCGGATGGACCTGGACTCTGATTGGGCAATACCGACCGAGATGACGGGGGCGGGTCTTAGTCCTATTGTGTGGGAGGAGTTTGAGCCAGTGACTCCTGAGGAAGTGGACAAGGCTGTAGGGGCAATGAGTTCCTCCACTTGTTTGTTGGATCCGTGCCCCTCCTTGCTGGTTTCAGCCAGCAGGGAGATGACACGAGGCTGGCTCCAGGCTTTAGTTAACGCGTCCTTGAGAGAGGGGTCCTTTCCGCAACCATTAAAGGAAGCGGTTGTAAGGCCCCTCCTCAAGAAGCCTTCCCTGGACCCAGCAGAATTAAAGAACTTTCGTCCAGTCTCCAACCTACCTTTGTGGGAAAGGTTGTAGAGAAAGTGGTGGCACTTCAGCTCCTGTGGTCATTGGATGAAACGGATTATCTGGACCCTTTTCAGTCCGGCTTCAGGCCTGGTTAAAGCATGGAAACTGCCTTGGTCACGCTGATGGATGATTTCTGGCAAGCCCTATAAGCAAATTTAAAAACTGATTTAAAAAGATGTCCATAAAAGGTTGCCAAAACTTTAAAAAATAAAAATAAAATGAATCTTATTTTAATTTTGATCAAATAAACCAACTTTGCACTCCTTCCTTTTAGTTCTAACAAAAGGTCTTATTTTAAGCTTGAACAAATAAACCAACTTTGTATCCCTTCCTTTTCTAATTCCAGTTAGAATAGTTCTCATTTGAAAAAAAATAATAATAATTGAGTTCTTCTTCCAAAGCCAGAACACTCAGACCTATGATTGCAAACAGCTTCTCTTGGAAAAAAAATATTAAATGATGGAAACAAAACAATCGTGTTAATTTTCTTCCTCTCCTGCAGGTGAAAGTTACAAGCAACTGATCAGCAAAGAATGTTCTGCCTATTGTCCTGAGGTAGGGGTTGATATCGGCCTGATGGCTTTCTCAATTAATTGCTGTGAGCATTCCTTGTGCAACACAAGTGGTGCCGTCAGTGTGAAGACGAGTTCCTTGTTGCTGCTGGTGGGCACCTTGGCCAGTGTCTTCTACATCATTGGAGCCCATCTGTGATGAGAGACTACATGAGCTCTTGGCAGCTCCCCCAGGGAGGACTCGAACCTATCCTGGAAAAATTGTAGGTTAAAAAGAATTTCCCTCTTGCTACTTGGCTCTGTCTTCAATTCTTTCAACTAATAGTCCAGCCTAGTCCTTGGTATACCTCGGTTGCATCCGATCTACATGGACCTTTACTTGGGTCAAGGGCCTGATTCTCCTTCCTTCCCCAGTCATGATTTTGCAGATGTTTTGTGATTTCTTTGCATTTGCTCCTTGCAAATGTCAACCCACATGAGTTGACCAAAGTTATGGGCAGTAGATAGCAAGATGCATTATTATAAAGTTGAGAAATAGCCCTATGGTTGGTGGTTTACCCCTCCTGGGAGGAGAACCTCAAGATTTCCTTCTTGCTTGAAACAATCTTGCTTGCAAGGAAATCCACTTGGGGGAGGGGTGATGATCCCAGCTTTCTTACTTTCCACTTGGACCTTGATAAGGTCAACTGTTGATAAACTTGGCTGTCCCAAATACCAAGGGAGTATATCTCATGTGTAGTCCATTGTGTAGAAGTGAATGCCTGGTTTCACTCAACCGAGGGTTTGTAGGATAAATTGCCTGGATTCATGCAATGTGCTGAGCCTTTAAAACATGATGTACAGTTGACAAGGATTGGGTTTACACACAATGTTCAGCCAGGTTGGGTTGGGTTTGGTCTTCCGCTGGTTGGGTTCATGGTTGAATAAGGGTGATCTGTCCCCGTCCACACACACACACAAACACAGCCAGCTGAGGGTTAAGAAAGTACTTGGCACGCACACAGGCCGTTATCTCAAACTTGGCAGCAATATAATCACCGTCTGCCAAGAGCTTTTACTGAAACAGATAACATAAAATTACATACGCATTGCAAATAGTCCAGCAAAACAATATCCCTTTCGGCAGCTTCAGACGTTGTTCAAGTGACTAGCCAAAGTTCGTTTTTGTTCGTCACGGAGTTTTACCAGCCACCACCCTCTCTTATATAGTCTCTGGGGTGTGGTCCAGTGACTCAGTTCTAATCCCTAGCATGCCTCCTTAACTGCTGCAACCGTTTATCACGCCTTCGTTGGGGTGGATCCAGGAACGACAGATCGCCTCCATCACTCTCATCGGAGACACCTGGCTCCTGGCTAATCTCCTCTCCCTCGGCCGGCACCTGAGACAGTGCCAGAGGGGAGGGGCCTGGAGAGGGAGGCCTGGCTGACTCCTCTTCCTCATGTTCGGAGCTTTCTTCCTCCGATGAGATAGGCTCAGAGGGCGGGGCCACAACAAAGGGTTTGTTTTACTTAGAGAAAGTGAAAGGAGCTTTTCTCAGTGATACCGCCCAGAATCACACAATAGTAAGACGGGCAGCATATAAAATTAATAAATATATTGATACATACATACATACATACATACATATATATATGTATTTTTCTTCAACCAGGTATTTTCCTATGTAAACCAAGTTTCTCAAATTGCAGCTGTAGCTGCAAAATGTATGCTTGCTGTCTGAAGAAGCCTAGGAGATTATTCTAAATTATTCTAAAAATACGAGTTCCAGGTATATTAGTAAAAATACACACACACACACACATGTTTTCGTAGATTTTCACGGGTACAGGTATGCAAGTCTTGGCGCATTCAGGTCTTTTCCCGTGTAAGATTGAGAGTATCTTGGCGACGTTTCGACGAGGTCCCACTCGTCATCATCAGGCTGGTGTCTTCGGCTTCGTGTCTGTGCGAGCAAAGCGTGATTGGAGATGCCGCCTCTCGATAAATACTGTTGGGGAAGTGGGGGGTGCTGGCTCTGTTGCTGTAGGCGGGTTGGTTGGCTGTGTTGCTACATCTTGATTAGTTGCAGCTTCTTTTTCTAAAATACCCAGATTTTTCCCTATCCAGAAGGGGAAAAGTAATCCAAATTGGGAAAATAAGAATGCCATTCAATCGATTGATTGCATTCTCTCTCTTTCTTTATACCCTTTGTAAAGTGTGTATTTTTCATAATGCTTTCCAAACTGAATAATGTTAATAATAAAAAGGATATTAAACCTTTCTTGTGATTTGTCTCTCTCTCTCTCTCTCTGTGGCACAGGGGTGGGTTCTACTTACCTTTACTACCAGTTAACAACGGGACCGCGTGCGTGCTCTTGCTTTGTGCGCGCGCACTTCTGTGCACTTCCTGATGACATCCAGGTCAGTGGGCGGAGCCTCCCGCCGGTTTTACTACCGGTTTTTGTGAACCGGTCCAAACCGGGGGCAATCCACCACTGGTGTGGCAAGTGGCATGTTGGTTGAACTTTAAATAGATAGAATAAATAAAATTCTTTATTGGCCAAGTGAGACTGGACATAGAAGGAATTTGTCTTTGGTGCATATGGTCTCAGTGTACTATATATATATATATATATTTGTTTTCTTTCCTTTTCGTAGGCTTTATGTGTATTTCTCTTTAGCATAAAAATCTTGGTTTATGTAGGAAGAACCTGACTAAAGAGAAATACATATACATATACATATACATATACATATACATATACATATACATATACATATACATATACATATACATATACATATACATACATACATACATACATACATACATACATATTTGTTTTCTGAGGTTTTCGCGGGTGTTTGTATGTAGGTCTTTGTATTCGGGTTTTCTCCCGCGTAAAATTGGAGGTGTCTTGGCAACGTTTCGACGAAGTCTCATTCGTCATCTTCAGGCTGGTGTTTTCGGCTTCGTGCTTCTAGGAGCAAACATTCTTGGCAAACGTTGCCAAGACACCTCCAATTTTATGCGGGAGAAAACCCGAATAACCAAAGACCTACACACACACACACACACACACACACACACACACACACACACACACACAAATTTATATTTATATTTTGCTGATAAAGAAATAAAGAGAGACTAGTATAGATCTATTTCAAGCTATTTAGCTCTCATCAGCTAGCCATACCCTTAACTGGATTCAAACTTGGGCTTCCTGCATGTTAGGCAGTTGTATTAAGCTCTGAGCCACAAGTTCTCCCTTCATCAGCTTGAGCCAGGGGAGAGATTAAGTGTTTTTATATCAAGGCACCTGATCTACTCCAACATGTAGGAGGGAGCATACTGCATCCCTTTCGCCTTTCAGCTCCAATCCAGGAGCCCTCAAGCAGTCACATTGACCACAAACCATTTTATACCAAATTTATATTTAGCTGATAAAGAAATAAAGGGAGACTAGTATAGATCTATTTCAAGCTATTTAGCTCTCATCAGCTAGCCATTATTTCTTTGCTTTCTACAAAGAGCCCAAGAGCCTTTGCTGCTCTTTTAAGCCTTATGGGAGGGGCCAATCATCTGGCCTTACTCCCGAGTCGTCCCTTTTGCTTTAGCTGCTCTTGCCTTCTGGCAGCTCTGTGCATGCGTGCACTAGGAACAGGCTCCTCCTGCTCCTCTGCCTCTCTGCTGTCCAACTCTGGAGGCTCCGGAGTCCAGGCATCGCTCCCAGATTGCCCTGGCCCCATCTCTGCCTCCGACGCAGAGCCCTTGTCTGGGCCTTCCCCAGACTCCAGGACTGGCCCGTGGTCCTCCCCAGCCTCCTCACTGTTGTGGCCCTTACGCGGCCTGTGCAGCTAGTAGCTGATTCAGACAGTGAGGAGGCTGGTGTGGTGCTGCGCCAGCAGCCTGTGCAGCTGGCACTCGAGTCAGACAGTGAGGAGGCTGGAGAAGATGTGGTGCCAGAGGCAGGGATTCAGCCAGGACCTTCAGAACCTCCAGAAGCACCCATAAGTGAAGAGGAAGAAGAGGAGGAGCCTCTTCTCGATGCACAGGCGCGCAGAGCTGCCAAAAGGCAGGAGTGGCTCCTCAGGAGGAGGTCTCCTCGAGAGTAAGGCTTGGGGCTAATTGGCCATTCCCTTAGCCTATTTAAGGAGGAACGCCGACTGAAGCAATTTGCAGGGAACAACTTAGTTCATATACCTTCGTGTCTTGCCTTGCTTATCTTATCAGCTTCCTGCGAATTGCTTCTGGGCATTCTGCCAACCATGGTAAGCTTTCAGTTATTATTCTTTGAATTGTTGGCAGCTGTTAATGCAATGAATTAACAGCCATTGTTGTAAAAGACTGGTTTATTCAGTAAACTAAGGTTTGAACGGACTTTGTGTGTGTTGCGTTCTTTGGGGTCCGTAGCTGGGGCAGAACACTCACTGTCCGACTCCGCTGCTAGCTCTGCGGGCTGCTGGCGGACCACAACACTTATGGCCACAACTGAGCCCAAAATTTCTGTTGTTAAGTGAGATATTTATTAAGTCAGACATGATTTTTCCATCCGTTGCTTCTTGCCCGGCCTTTAGGTGCTTTGGGGCAGGGGTTCCCCAACCCGCGGGCCACGGCCTCGTACCGGGCTGTGGCCCGTTTGGAACTGGGCTGCACAAGTAGCAGATGAAGGCACATAACTCAATTTGCTTAAGAAGCAGACACTCTCGCTGGCACAGAAAGCTCCATTTGTGCAAGCAGGGCCGTGTGCCCCCCACAGGGTTCTGTGAAACCTGAAGGTGACCTGACCGCAGCCATCTTGGCACTTCAGTGTTGCCGCACTGGAGCTGAGGGACAGGGAGGGGGGAATCGAGATAGCTGGGGTTTTGTAGCCAAAACAAAATACTTTCTCTTGGGAACCAAGGACATTTCCACAGGTGGTCGGAGAGAGGAGGAGCGAAGTTACCAGGCAACCAAACAGCACCTTGATTGGACCATGTGACCGATTGTTTGGGGAAGGGGAAAAACTTTTTACTTTTAATTAGGTGAAAACCATGGGAACCTTCAGAGTCGGTTTTCACCAGAACTGTTCCAATATCTTTTTGTCTTTTATTAGATTTATATACCGCCCTACTCCCGAAGGACTCAGGGAGGTGAACAGGCACAAAATAAAATACATAAATACAAAAGTTAAAAGATATAATTAAAACCAGATTTAAAACCACAACTGTTTTTATTGGGTATAGTAAAGGGTTTTACATTGGATGAAACTAAGTTGATATTGTACATGATAACAGCAGCGAGATTATTGATAGGTAAATACTGGAAAAATGAAGCCTTACCCACCATTGAGGAATGGACTTTGAAGATGGCCAGTTTTGCGGAGATGGCGAAGATTTCAGCATATTTAAAAGATCGCTCGCAAGAGACTTATGAATGGGAATGGAAAAAATGGATAGATTATGTGCAGAAAAAATACCAAGTTAGGAAGTATCAAATAGTTTTTCACTGAAAGTTATATAGAAATAGAAATGTCTGAATTGTGAAGAGAGAAAAAATTATAAGGGGGCTTGAGGGGTTCAAGTTTTCATAAAAAAAGGGGATTTTGATGGGATTATATTCTGTGGAAGTCAGAGGGGGAGGGTTAGGGGGGGGTTGGGGGGGTTAGGGTGGGGAGGGAGGGGTGGGTTGGGGGGGGGAAAAGTGGGGTGAAAATATAATTGTAAAACTTTTGCAATAAAAAAAAAACCAGATTAAATAATTTAGCCCAAGACAATTAAAAAAATCCCAATAATTTAAAACAAATTAAAATTTCGATGTAAAAGAATTCTAAAACGGGGGAGAAAATTAGGCCAGGCCGGCTTGCTGGAATAGAAGAATCTTAAGAGCTAATATGATATATCCAATAAAGCTATTCTTGGAGGAATCTACTTGCCTCAGAGGTTTACCGTATTTTTCGGAGTATAAAATGCAACTCCCCCCCCCCCTAAAAGAGGCTGAAAATTATATTCCGAATGTAGCTTTTTCGAACCTTTTTTTCAGCCCTAACAAGGCGCTAACAAGGGACTAGGGAGTAAAGCGATCTCCATGCTTTGCTCCGACTCTCAGCTGTTCTTTAGAAGCTTTTTTTCAGCCCTAACTAGGTGCTAGCCGAGTGAAGCGATCTCCCCGTGCTTTGCCTGCTTTTCTCATTGCTGCTTCCTCTCAGCTGTGCCTTAGAAGCTGTTTTTTTTTTTATCCCCAAGCAGGGGATAAAAAACCAGCAAACTAATGTGCTGAAGTTGACCAGACTAAGGACGCTAGCCAGCTGAATACCTGTTAGGCAGATTTTTTCCCCCCTATTTTCCTCCCCAAAAACTAAGCTGTGTCTTATACTCCGAAAAATACGGTACTTGTTTTGGGTGCATTATTTGGAACCCTGACACACTGCTTATATAAATAGAGCTGCGTACACAAGGAAGTGTGCCCACTGCTAGTGCAGAACCAACCCCTCCCCTTCCTTCCCTCCCCCCCACGCAGCTGGTCCGCAAAGCTGGAAAGGGTGGAGACCCCTGCTTTGCAGAATACGTCGAACCCATCTCTGTGGCAGCCCCTCAAATTTTGGAACCCAAATACTGGAATATTTGGAATCAGTGTTTTTCAGAGGTGGCCATTCTGAATTCTGAATAGGTTGCTTGGCTGTTCCGATATAAGAGGGATTAAAATAGCAGTCGGTGAAGGGAATCTGTTCCTAGGGAATAAAGAACAGATGGTCGGATACGTTCCCATGGAAATGAAAATTGAGGGGAAGATGTTTTAGGGCTGTGTTTCTCAGCCTTGGCACTTGAGGATGGGTGGACTTCAAGTCCCAGAATTCCCCAGCCTTTTCCCACACTCACTTAGCCACACTTCGGAATGTCCTTAGTTTCTCCCTCTAATAACCTCTATAACTGTCTGGTTTGGTTGTGCAACCCAACAAGACAGAGACAGACTTCAGAGGATAATTAGAACTGCAGAAAAATCAATGGCTACCAACCTGCCTTCCATGGAGGGCCTCTATACTGCACAAGTCAAAAAGAGGGCTGGGAAAATATCTACAGACCCCTCGCATCCTGGACATAAACTGTTTCAACTCCTACCCTCAAAACGACACTATAGAGCATTGCACACCAGAACAACTAGACACAAGGACAGTTTTTTCCTGAATGCCATCACTCTGCTAAACAAATAATTCCCTCAACACTGTCAAGCTATTTACTAAGTCTGCATTACTATTAATTTTCTCATCATTCCTATCACCCATCTCCTCCCACTTATGA